CCCTCCCCTCGAAGCCCCCTCCCCTCGAAGCCCGTGTTTCCGACTTTTCTGTTGTGGTCTGTGAATCTATTATTCTTACAAGTCAAGTATATTTTGAAAGGAGTTTAGAGTTTCAGATACAGGGAACCTGTACAATTCCATTATATCTGCCCTGTTGGTCATCAACTTGAAGAAGACCTGGACAAATTTTGCTTAAGCAGTATATAATGATTAATTCTTAGCCATAGCAGAATTTAATAAAATAAATCACATCTCATCTGGGAGGTATATTCAAATAAATAAAGATATTTCTTCTGTGCCTCAGTTTTCTTTCTACCCATGCAAGAATTCACACCTGATATTTTTTCCTCTTCCTTCTTTTTAAAAAAAAATTCAGCTAAGTCGGGTTCTCTCCAGGGTCCACAGACCCCTCAGTCTACAGGGAGCAATTCTATGACAGAAGTGCCAAGTGACCTCAAGCCTCCAACACCAGCGTCCACACCTCATGGACAGATGACACCTACACAGAGCAGCAGGTACTTTTCTTAGAGCCTTTCAGGATATTGGATCTGTGCTTTGGCAAGTGCAGTCACTGCCCCAAATCCAGACACCTTCTCTCTCTTTCAGGGATGTTGCATTTTCCTGTGACTCAAAATGCAACATGTTGTGGGAAATATTATTGGTATCTGGAAAATGAGTGTCACGGGCATTTCTTGGATGCTGCCCATGACATCATTGATGGTGAGTGGCAGTTACCCCATCTTTCTTTGCCACCATATTGTCAATCTCACCCTTCCCCCTGACCAGGAATGAAAAAAAGGAAAGTTATGGGATCTGAAAATGCAGAGGTTCAAACTGATGTGTGAAAAAGTTGCTTTTAATTTCAATTTCCTCAATACACACACAGACCCCAAACTCTTCAGTCTTTGGTTAGAGCTTCATTGATGGCAGAACTAAAATTGTAAAAAAGCTTTGCCTTAAGAGTAATTTTATGTGAGTTTGCAGGATGAAGTTTCTGCTTTTTCGCTGTAGAACTCTTTGTGTGTATGTATAGATATGTGTGCAACTGTGTCCAGATGCATGCATAAACAACCAGAAAAAATGGAGAAAATTAGCGAGCAATCCCAAGTAAACCATTATCATGGCTTAATCCTATTGTAGAGAACTAATTGGTAAATAGAACAAACTTCTATTTTTCCCTAAAAGGACTTCTCCATTATTTCCTGCAGCATCTGGCATTGAGAAAAAAAATGTCAGCCCCTCTCAGAAATAATTATTTGTGCACAATTTGAATTGTTTATCTACCAACACACAGGCACATTCATGTACAACCCTACTCACTGATTTTTAAAGTTGCCCATTGTTGTCCATGCGTGTTATTCCATACATACAAATGGGTATTTCTTTGGATATAAAATTTGGGGAATATTCAATGAACAGAGGCTGGATATGATCAGTGATCTGTCAACTAAATTTGAGAGGTTATCTGCTTATATTCATATATTTAATTGTGGTGCAATTAAAATGAATAAATTAACCATACAGTGCCTTTTCACAAGGCATAATATTCTTGATATAAATTAAGAAGTTCTGAAACCAAGAATTGACCTGTGATACATATAAATGATGGAAAGGGGGCACTATGTTGGGATGGTTAGACTGCTGTATTGAACTTAAGAAACTTTTGTTCAAATCCCAGCTCTGTTATGAAGTTTATTTTATGGGCCTTGGACAAATAGGTGTTCTCATATTCCACTCTGAACTTCTTGACTCAGGTAGAGAATGAGGTACTTGACCACTTGTTCTATATATTTTGAATATCTTATATATCCTATACTGTTAAGGCAACAGTGGTGATTTTCACAACAGTTTAACTTTCTGAACTCTATGGATCACCACCTGATCAGGCATTGCTCAACTATAACTGTGTCTCTATAACTCAAATACTTTCCTATGTTCTATCTCTTTAGAAATAGTTCAGTCAGTGTACATGATCCCTTTTCGGATATAAGTGATTCCACATACCCAAAGCGGAACTCTATGACTCCAAATGCACCCTATCAGCAATCAATGAATATGCCAGATATGATGGGAAGGATGCCCTATGAGCCAAACAAGGATCCTTTTGGTGGGATGAGAAAAGGTATTTTGTGTGCAGGAGGGGACATGCACATAGACTCTATGTTTGTGTATTATCAGTTCCTAGATGGGATTCTCCATCTTTGTATTACAAAGGTATAAAAAATATTTTTGACACTTTGTTTTTGTCTGTCTTTCTGTCTTTCTGTCTTTCATAAGTAACTTTGCAAGTTAACAGATTAGTGCAGAGAACTTTTGCCAATAAGTTTAAGAAGTTCCTTTTATGATACAGAAAATTATATGGAAGAGTTTTAAAATTATATTGTTCGAATTATACCAATACTCTCAATTTAGGCCTATTACTTTTCTGTAAGTAACAGGATTTGGTAAACTCAGATTATATACAAGCCAGTTTAATAAGACATACAATTATACAACATATATTATTTTAGTTTAAATCTCAATGTACCGGTAATCACCAATTGTCATTGTCTTATTTCACTTAGATGAGATAGAACTGCTGTAGGAAGTTTACAGGAATAAATCAGCATGCTAAGTATAAAGGAATTTATGTAATGGTTTAAAAATGGGTCTGTACCCTATAATATTCTTGGGGAACACTTTTTTGACATGGAAGTAAGGATCTTTTGCAACAGTTCCACATTATGGGAACCTGTTCCAAGTGCTAGATTTTTAGATCTGGACAAACGTCTCAGCAATGTCTAAAATATATAGGGATTTGAGTTAAATAGATCATTTATATCATGACTTCTACTAATAAGATTCAAATCCCTTTAACAGTCATATGTGAAGATACATAAAAATATAAAAAAGTCATACTGAATCTTCAGCAGTATTTGTGGAGCAATGCTGTACTTTAAGCAAAATCCTGACTATAGCAGGACTCAATTATTTCAGAAAACCTGAACAAAAATGCCTCTCTAGAGTACCTTTCACAGCTAGATTCTGTTTATGTATGTACAGTATGTAGGCTGGTATCTGTATATACAGCTACAACAACTATTTTACATTCACAAGAACCTTGTCGTATACTTCAAGATGAGAGATAATGACTAAATCATGATTTATACTAGGCAATATTCTGTATCTATGAAATCATTTATTACTTTTAAGTCCCAAGGAGATTTCCAAAGTGACTTCCAGTTAGAAATCTGAGAGCAGGAATAAATAATAGAGCAATAAAACAAGTAAATCAATAAAATAAGAGCAGCAGCATTTTTAGTGTTAAAGCAGAAATTTAAAATAAGCAAATCGAAAGCTGTGAAGAACTTAGGAAAAACATTTTTATTTAGTGCCCAGATTTACCAATCCTGGTCACTTACATATTTTTTTCTGCCAACATCAAAAACTGAAGAGATCTGTGTTTTATGTCACTTCCAGGAGGGAGAAAAACCTTACTTGTCGGTAGATTGATATTTTAGAAACACTCTATTATCTGGTGGTCAGTAGATATTTATACATCTTCCTTTCCAAATTCACTACACAAATAGATATGGAGAAATATATTTCATTTGTGTAGGCTGATCTTAGAGAACAAAAATAGCTGTGATCACAATGCTAATATATTTGAGCCAGTGGAAATTTGTAGGTTAGTAGTAGACTCCTTTCTTGAGGGAAAAAAAAGCAGAAAACAAAAATTGCTTGAGATTTTTATTTGGATTTAAAATTATAAAATACAGTATGCTTAGAGTATCGATGTGGTCCCAGCTTTGTAAACCACAGTAAAATACACAGTAGCATTATAATAGCACTTGTTGCTGAAGTACGTATCTCCTCAGTTCTGATACTGTTTGTTGAATTATTCTGCTTCAGTTCTCTGAACATAAATGGTATTTAATAATTCTTAATAATATATCTTTCAAATAACATAGGTAAGCCATATATTCTTTCTTTCTTTCTTTCTTTCTTTCTTTCATAGTGCCTGGAAATAGTGAACCCTTCATGGCCCCTGGACAAATGCCCAACAGTGGCATGCAGGATATGTACAGCCAGAGTCCCGCTGGAACCATTTCCAACATGGGCATAGGCCAACGCCAACAGTTTCCCTATGGAAGTGGTTATGACCGGAGGTGAGACTTCATCAACTTCAAATCACAGAGAAAAATGGTGAAAAGATTCTGCATTGTCACTGTCCTTCTAACAGACCATTTAGCTGAGCCATTTAATGCTCTTCAGAAAATCAGCGAGAGCAGAACCACTAATAGAGACTGAGTCTATTTTGAGTAGGAACTAATAAGTGAGTGTGTGCTGAACAAGGAGTTGCCTTGAGCTATATTTGATATATTTTTTGCTTAATCAGATTTCAGCATTATTATTCAGTGTGTGTGTAAGTGTGTATGTTCGTGTATGTGTACGCTTAATGAACCAGCCACTGGGAAATTGCACCTTGTTCTGATGGTTTTGTGCTATCTGTTGTAGAGGAGTACGTTACAAAAATCTACGTAAACAAAGATTCTCATTTCCAGGATAGTCATTTAATACATCCCAGCCTCAATAAAGTCAACAATACTTCCATTTGGATGCCTATCCTCATTCACATTGTGACCCAACATACATAACTGACACGGGGTTGGAAATCAATATCCTCTGGTATGCAGGCAAGCAATACATTCATCAATGTAGAAAGGGAAAACTGGTAGGTAACAGAGATATATTCCTTCCCATGCTCTCCCACACCCAGTTCAAAGTTAAGCCAATGGGAGAGATTAGTTCTGTATTAGCATCATAAGACCATAAAAAGATCAAGATTTCCCCTTCCCAGTTATGTCTGACACTAGGGGAGGCAGTGCTCATCTCTTGCTTAGCTGAGGGAGCCAGTGTTTTTATTTATATTGCCACCTACTCACACATGGTGACTCACGGTCGTTTACAGGACTTAAAAGCACAATATAAAATAAATATAAATAATAAAATAATAATCTCCACCCCCACAACAACAGCCATTTAATGCTGGCTGGTAATGTTGCCCAAAGACACTCACGGAACGTTGTTACCTTCCCACCGAAGTGGTACCAATTTAACTACTTGCATTTGCATGCCTTTGAACTGTGTACTTGGACTCAAACTGCCAACCTTCCAGTTGACAAACCCAGCGTCTTAACCACTAGGCCACCACACGCACACCCTAGTCATAAGACCATAGCTGGAGAGAAGAAAAGAGAGGAGTTGCTAATTGGCTGGAATTCAGTAGAAGGGAGATTCTTTTTTTGGAAAAGCAAAATGTCTCCCTCAAAAAAGGGAGGGGATGACGAACAATGGCTGTAGAAGTACAATAAAATGCACAAAGTAGCAAAACTTTTTTTTATTTATTCTCTTCAAAATTATACCATTTACAGTAACAGTCAATCTGCATAAAAATTAGTGCTACGCCAATAAATGCTTCTTGCCATGTTTCAGTGTTCTGGGAAAAAACAATTCATGCAGAATGTGTTTTTTTCTCTGCAGCCTGGCAGTGGGAACTTTCTGGTTTAGCATTATCTATCTGCCAGAAAAACAGCAATATATTGTAATTTTGGCTCATTGGTTGAAGTACCTTCTTCTTTATAGATAACTTTTGAAAAATGCTACTAAGGAAATTGACAGCAAGAAAAAGACTATTGAAAATGTATATTAAGCAATAAACTTTGCTTTATAAAGCAATCAGAGATTTTATGTCACTATACTTTACTAAAAAGATAAGTAGTGAATTCAAATTAGTTTCCATCACTGATCAGAATATTAGAAATGCCTGTGGATTTTTATATCAAAAATTGCTAAAATGAATCAGTTTCAAAATGGTTTAACTCATCATGTAAATATAGCTCCTAAAGATTATTATGAGGATTATCATTAGGATTATGATATTTTGGGAGAAATGATCATATTATTTAAGAAAAAGAATGACTATAAAGAGTACGAGCAACGGTATTGAGGGAGGCACCCATGGTGGATTGCCAAGGTGATAGAGTAAAGTTCATAACATTCAGAAGCAGTTTCCTAATTCCGTAAAGTGCTAACAACACAGATTTGCAAGATTGAGGTCAATACTATTAGGTATACCAAACTAAAAAGTCAATTCCACAAGAAGGCTAAAACTACGTTTATTGAGATTGTCCATAACAGTGATGGCGAATCTTTTAAACCGCGCATGCCCAAACTGAGAGATGCGCATATGTGAATTTGCGTGAATATGCATGTGAATGCACAGACATGCGTGCATGCGCAGCAGAGACCTGAAGACCAGCTGGGCGGCGGGAAGCGGGGCATCCCAACACCAACAGTGTGGCAAGCGGTAAGATCTTTTTCTTTCGTGAGCTTCTGTTTCATTGTTTGCAGGCAAATAGAACCTCATGAAAGAAATGCTATGGAGATCTGACGGGATGATGGCACGTGTGCCAGCAGAATGGGCTCTGCATGCCACCTGTGGCACCCGTACCATAGGTTCGCCATTAAGGGTCTATAATAAAAGAACCTTGCAAATTTTATTGTACCTCTTCCCCTTTTTATAGTTCAGTAAATGATAGAGCTGTTTGTCTGATCTGCTTCTGAACACTATCTGGACAAATGTGTTCTTCAATTAGTAACCTAGTAACGGGCCTTGGAAAGTAGGGAAATACAACACTGGATGTGACTAAGCCCATCTCCTCCCGAGCTCCCTGCTTCCCCTCCACTATCTTTTTCATTTCATATTGTTGCACTTCCATTGTTTATTTTTATTGTTTTATTCCTTTACTATTGTTATTTTTACATTTTTTACCATTTTAATTTTGTTTTATTTTTGCAAGACACCCAGAATGGCCCCATGGCAAGATAGGTGGCAAATAAATTTAACAAGTAAATAAATATCAAGGCCATACTCCTTAGTCTCTACAATTACTTTTTAGTTATTAATTACATAGAATCCTAAGTAGTTTCATGAATAGATATGAAACTTGCAACTGCATAGTTCTTTATCCATCAGGCAAAAAAGAGCTGCATAAGCGAGCCTCTAAAATTTTATTCATCAAAAAGTCTGCAGTGGCCTATAAAACATTTTCAGCCTTAGAGAAAATGTTGATTTGAAATTGGCTATTCCCTAAGTTTTTTTTATTATTATTATTTTAATTCACCAGACTTGAAGAATAAGTGTTTTTTACAGTGTGAAGTTTCCTTTGTCATTTTTAGGTTGGATCATGGGCTGGGTCCTGAAGGCAGTATGGGAGCACCTGGTCAAAGCAACATGGTGCCTTCAAACAGTGACCCAAGCATGTACTCTCCTAACTGTTATCCTGGGCAACAAAGGTGAATAATTTAATCTGTTTAAAATACCTGTGTTAACAGATAAACTTAAATCTTAAGGATTACTGGATAGGAGGTGCAATTTGCTACACTGGATTGTGTATTGCATTTCATGCTCTCGGATTTTCTGCAAGACACTGGCATAAATTCCTTGAGAATAATGATGGTTGCATGGCTGCAGTGCTTGGTAGATGATTTTATGCTTTACTTCGGCTTTTTTAAAAGCTTTTAAAAGTTTGGATTCTAGAGATGGATTCATTTGGACCATGTAGAGAACTTGAGATTACAGCATTTTTACACATTATAAAACCATTCACCAGAGAATATTTTTCTCAGCCTTTTACTTTACATTCATTTGTAAAACAGTGAGGTTCTCAGGTGTTTCTTTGTTGATGTCGTTTCATAAATAAATTAATTGAACATGTGTTTGAAATACAGGGTGCTGCTCCTTTCTCTCAAACCCTAAAATAAATTTGTTTCGCGTATCGCTATACAGTGAGATAGCATGACTATTATCTCTAACCTAATTTAACTAGCACAATTTAAGCCAAATATATTTTTAGTGAAAAAGTAGATCCCTGAAGTTCTTGAAATTTCAATTACTTTCATTTTTAGCAGATTTCTCCACTTTAGATCACTGGGGCAATATAGATTTTTTTAAATTGAGGTATTATAAATTAACCATATGTGTATTTAATGCAACAATGCAATAATCCAGGAAACTGCATTGCTTGGGAAATTGGGAAATTTGCTCTCTTTTCTCCCATGGTAAATGCCTTATCTTTTAGCCTTACGTCTCAGGAGTAGCACGCAGACTGCTGTGTCCAATCAAAACTCTCCCATTCTCCCTTGCCCCATTTTCTGTACTTTTCTGTGTGACATTTCTGATCATGATATTTGTGCTGTTACCATAATATTAGCTAGCCCACTGCAGGAGTATGATATCCTGGGTGAGTTCATGGTGCTTACATCCAATGCTGAATGCTTATTTGCTTAAAACCATTCAACCTGGTATGGGAGAATTTGATGACTGCATTTAGATGTCACATTGTAAGAACAAATGTAAATGTTTTATCTATTTGGATAAAATATAGATGGTGCTTTTCTTCAATTCCAGGTAAGTTTGAGGCTGCACCTAAAACTCCTAAGTTTGGAGTCCAATAGATATAATAAGCTCATTCAAATCGTTTAAAATAGTGATTCTTAGCTGATTTTATTAGATATGTAATCTTAGTATTGCTACTGTTGTTTTACATTCCATTATTTCTTTGTATTCCAGTTAACTATCTTTCTACTTCAGATTTGTAATCTTTTTTAAAAAAAATCTAAGAATGGCTATTAGATCATGCATTACTCATTTATACATAAATGATTTTAAAACTGTAGCACTCTGGCGATATTAGGTAATCATATATTGTTGCCAACATTCTGAATATCAAGTATGGAATCTGCTTCAGCCAGTCAGTTGCATTTCTTATCAGTTACAGTACATTAGTCAGATGCTTTTGTATTAAAGCTCATGTAGACATTGCCAAGTGAGATTCAAGAATAGGGAATCATAAACTGCCAAGTCATCCGAAGAAAGGTGAAACATGTCTGCATCCAGGCCACATGTTATTTTTATCTGATGGTAGGCACGTTCAATCCTGAAAACAGAGACATCACTTTTTTTACCAATATTGATATATTATTACCAATTATTCTAAGAGACTGATAACTGATTTACTCTGTTATATTTGTATTGAATATGTTTGAGTGGAATTGAGTGTATGAAATCGAAAATTAAAACCACTTCATTTTTAAAACATACTGTACTACATTTGGTGGAGGATGTTTGATATGAAAAAAGAGGGTGCTGTTGGAGATTTTTCAGGCTTCATGAAAGACAGAAACTGTCTTAATGGGATAAGAAGTTTCAATATTTTGGGGCATTTTGGAAATCATAAGCACTAATATACAGCTCATATTTTTCATTGCAGGCATGAACCGTATGGACCGCAGTATCCAATGCAAGCTCCTCCTTCTGGACAACCCACCTATGGAGGACACCAATCTGGAATGTTTCCACAGCAGCAGGTAAATAGTTTTATAATGTTATTCTTTTCGCAAAATTCATTCTAGAAATCTAAGCATTTGGCACTGGCACTGGCAAAAAAAGTAAACAGTGGACAATGATGTTTGTTACTTATGAACAGTGTATATTTGTATCCTTTTATATGGAATGGTTCTTAACAGCAACTGACTAATGTTATGATATAGAACCTGCACTAAAATTATTCTGTTTTATTGACTGAGAAATCTGTAAGAAAGCATAGATAATTAATAAGATGTATCCCAAATAGTTCCATATGCAATGGACTAAATTGTGGTAGCATTAAATTTAGAGGCGGGGATTTGTAGGATCATAGAATTGTAAAATTGGAAAGAACTACAAGGCGTAGCTAGTCAAATTCTCTGCCTTGTGCAGGAAAAACAGTTAAATCACTCATAAGAAATGGCTGACCAGCATCTTAAAAATCTCTAGACATGGGGAACCCATAGCCTTCATAAACAGACTATTTTACTGTTGTATAAAATTAGAAACGAAGATAATTCTGCCTTCTTATTTAAAACCTCTACGGATGTTTCAATTAGGGAGAAGGGAACACGGTTAGTGAATCTGCAGAAGTTGCCATCACCTGTCTTCCATAACAGAACCGAGCAATTAGTGTTGAGGTAGCTTTTCTTCCCCAACATTCAAAATTATATTTATTGATTGTTTGATTCATAGCTAATAACATTTCAAAGTAAATTATTGGCAATTAAAAATAAGTGGAACCTACAAGAAAATTTTGTAATGAGGATTTTTCTTCTTCTGGGCTTCATTTAGCTAGCAATCATACTGTTTAATGCTTGGTATACTGTACAAATGATATGCCTAGATTGTTCATTTTTACTTGTTATTGCATGTTATATGTTCCTCTGTTTTTAGTTTTTTATAGTTTGTTTTGGCATTTTCTTGTATATTAATTGGGGGTTTGTATTGTTGTGTATGTTTCAAAATAAATAAATGATGTTATTGGCAATATTTAGCCACATAAGAATCATCACAAAGAAAATGTGTGTGCGTGAGAGAAAGAACATGCTCAGATATTCCCATCTATATGCCTGCCACTTTCAAAACATTTAAATCACTCCACTAATACATATAAAAAACCTCAATCAAATATCATATTCAGTGCCACATAGAATTATCTTTAATACTTTTTATCCTTAAAAGATACTAATTAAGATCTAGGAGCATCCAAACGAAGATTCTAGGTTTACTTTAGGGTTGTTTTTTTTAAAAAAAAATCTAAAGTCTAAAAACATCTTAACTAATAAATACATTTTATCATCTTCCTGATCCCACTCCCATAACTTAATAGTTGGAAACAAAATATTAAGACATTTAATTATAATGTAGTATTTACCTCA